CAACACAACGTTTCACCTTTCTCCATGTCCTAGAGCCAGGTGATCCCATACAGCACAACGTTTCATGTCTCCATGTCCCAGAGCCAAGGAGTTAAGTGACTTGACCTGGGGTCACACAGCCAGTTAGTAGGACTTTGTGTAGTCAGTGGCCCCAGAGGCCACAAGCCACTGCACAGGCTGCCTGGTTTACCAGCCTAATCAGCCAAGGCCGGGGTTCCAGACTTCACCTATCACCTTGGCAGTAGTGATGACGCCCATCGACCCCAGAAGACACAGCAAGAGGCCAATTCCAGACCTTTCACTAAAGCTCTCAGAGTGAAAGAATGAGATGATCCAAAACTGCCTTCTGTGTCATGAAGGCTCCATTACATCATCAAACATAATGTTGAAGGTGTCTCCACACTGCACCTCTGCTTTTTCCTCAAATCGTCTCTGTTATTAAGGGAAGCCAGTCACCCATTCTTAATCCTCTCCCCAGAAAGATAATCCTTTGATTTACTATTTTAGCAAAGTCTTTGTTTTCTATTCTAGAACTTTTCACTTTATCCCTCTCTCTCTGGCTCCAAATAGTCCCAAGGACAGTTCAAGGGCTGTGTCCCCTCTGTCCACCCTCTGCAGCCACATTTAGTTATGTGAGGTTATGAGAAATTCCTCGTGTTATTTACTATGGCCAAGTCATGCTGGCCACCTAGGGAGCTTTCCTGGCCTCCAGAGCTGGACACATGCTTCATGCTTGTTTTTCCATTAACAGAGGAGGAACCCTGTGATACTTCCCCTCTTGTTAGGGGCCCTAATTGTGAACAATAGGACTAGTGCTCTCAGAAATTGGGGAGAGACATGGTCTCATGGATTCCTTCACAGAGCACAGGAGCATCTTAGTACAACACATTCTTCACAACTGATCAATAAGCCAAAGGAGAAGAGAAAACCTCAGAATAGATTGTCCTTTTTTTGGCTAGGGGGAGGGAAAGGTGTGGCTGCTCGCAGGAGCATCAAGTGAATTAGTGAATTTTTCAGGGCATGGAACCCTGGGAGAGGCCTGGAAATTGCAGCTGATGCTGAAGGCAAAGTAGAGTCCAGCATTTCCTGGGGTACACGGCACCTGCATTCCAGGTCTCCTGGCCTTACCCTAACACCTGTGGGAATCTGGAGTGTGTGGCCAATCTCCCCTCGAGGTCATGAGGTCAGCCCAGCCCACAGCGTATTTGATCTCAGAGAATCTTTGTTCTCTGGCATTCTCTTCCTCCCAGAATCACAGCTGACTGGTCTCACAGATCTTCAAGGCTGTTGCCCCATCTCTAGAGATAAACAACAATCCTCTACAGAGGCTGCAAAGAGAGCTTCCAAGTCCCCATGGTGGCTCGGCCTCAGGAACCTTCCCTCACACAGGCCCAGTAGACCCTGGTGCGCTCACTCCTTGCCAAGCTCTGGGCTGGGGCCTGTGTGTCCACTCATCCAATAGCCCCGCTCTGAAGGTGCGTGTCCCTACTCACAGGCCCACTGTGGGGTGGGGGTGGAGGGCTGGCCAGGGGGGAGGGGTCTGGTGAGTGCTGGTGCTGTAATACAGCTACTCATTGTGGTCCCTGGGGATCTGCCTTCAGTGTCCTGCATGGTGACCCCTCGGCAACAGGCCTCGTAGGACATGCCATTTGTGTAAGTGCTCAGCGCCCTGGCACTGTACCCAAGGCAGGGTGCCTTCAGGAAGGGCAACTTGCACAGAGCATGCATGTCCATGTTGGGCCCTGACCTCAGGCTGACCAGGAGGGCTTCTGCTCCCTTCTCTCCCTTTGGACATCCGATTATATCACTTCAACCTTGCTCTGGGCTCCTACTCTTCAGAGAAGAGCTGCATGGGAGGAGGAGCCATATTTCCCTTTCTACAATCCAGGGTGTGGGCTTTGCTCTGTTAGTCACGGTCAAGAGCAAAGAGAAAGCAGAACCAGAAGACTCAAAGACTAAAACTCAGCAGCATCCTCACTACTGACTTCCAGTAGTAGTGATCCTCAGTAACTTAGCAGGCAGGTGCTGGTTCAAATCCCACACCTGCACTTACAGAGAGAGAGCCTGTGAGCAAGCTGTGTAAACACTGTGTAAACACTGTGTGCCTCTGTTTTCTCATCTGCTAATGGGGGTAACAACAGTTACCCACTCAGGTAGATGTGTTTCCCATGAGGCCTGGATGGCACACAGATTGGCTGATAGGAAATATTCATTGAATAACTGTCTACTTTCTCTTTGAAAGAAAAAAAAGGGGCGCCTGGCTGGCTTAGTTGGTAGAATGAGTGACTCTTGATCTCAGGGTTGTGAGATGAAGCCTTGCATTGGATGTAGAGATTACTTAAAAATAAAGCCTTTAAAAAAATAATTGTCTATGCTGAGTGACATAAGTTAATCAGAGAAAGACAATTATATGATCTCACTCATATGTGAAATTTAAGAAATGAAACAAAGGATCATAGCGGAAGAGAGGAAAAAATAAAACAAGATAAAATAAGAGAGGTAGAGAAACCATAAGAGACTCTTAATCATAGGAAACAAACTGAGGTTTGTTGGAGGGGAGGGGAGTGAGGAGAGGGGGTACCTGGGTGATGGCATGCATGAAGGAGGGCACATGATGGGATGAGCACTGGGTGTTATAGAAGACTGATGAATCACTGAACTTTATATCTGAAACTAGTAATACATTATACGTTAGTTGAGTTTAAAAACATTTTTTTAAAAATAAATTAATTTAAAAAATAATTGGCTATTCTTTTCGATAACCATTTTCGGCTGCTTCTGCTACAAAGCACTCCAAACCACAGGGAGTAGCTCCCACGCCTTTTTTTTTTTTTTTTTTTTTTACTGGCTTGACCTACCTATGGAGAAGAGTCCTTGGGACAAATGGGCAAGGAGACAGGGTTCTTGAGCATGGCAAACATGTAGTGGAGGAGATGAACTTGCCACGACTAAGACAGATTTCTCAATGGATAGAGTGAAGGATCAAGGAATTATTTCATGAGTAATAGTTATTAAAGCCAGTAATCAATAAAAAGTTAGTAAGTAGAAGATTCATGGTTGAATATAACAAATTGTGTCTCTGTTGAAGAATATATAACCCATGTCTCTAGTAAAATGACTCAAAATGGCAAGTGACTCCAACTGTCTCCCAACTCAATACTCTAATTCAGTGCTTCCCAAACTTTGGCATCTAGTAGAATGCAGACTCCCAGGCTCCACCCCAGAGAATCTGATCATAAGGTCTAGATTTGGAGGAAGAAAAAAAGAAAAAGAAGTTCATCTAGACTCAGAGCAGAGATCTGAAGTTTTAACCAGTCTCCCCAGTTGGGCACAAGGCTCCAAGGTGAGCTCTCTGAGAAGCACTGCCAGACCAAAAATGTTCTCGGTCCCGCCCAAGAATCAGAGAGCAGAGAAGGGGTTTGGGAGGAAGGCACAGAGGTAGGCACCTGCCTCTGTAACACGTAGGTGAATATTCTCTTCCTGTTCTAGGTGCAAATACTGGGATTCAGGATTTGGGAGACCAGGCCAGATATCTGTGTGTACCCCAGTCTTCCGCCCACAAGCCCTTTCTAGCAGTTTTAGGATCAGTCCCAGATATAATTCATCAGACTTTCACCATGCCCAGGAATGAAAACACGGTATTACAAAAGTGGTTCTAGGGGCCAAGGGGGCGTGAAGTCAGTGCAACCAGTGAGTGCATACACTCTCAGCATGTCGCAGAGCTGTCCTCTCTATCCCCCTCCTTTGGGAGCGCGTGTGCTGCTCTGACTCATACACTGGGCCAAGTCCTATATGTTGTGCATGTGCATAAGGACCACGAGAGTCAGTGATTACAGTGTGTAGGTGCTATCAGGACATGTGAAAAGGAAAGAGTCAGATCTGAGCTTTCTGAAAGCTTTGGCCTGGTCTTTCTGGTAAAAGTCTATGGATTCCTCTTCTGACTTCCCAGTCTGTGCCAGGAACTGGAGCAGAAGGCAGAAAAGTGAGGCTAAGGGTCCTTTCCAAGCTAGAGTAGCTCTTTTTCAATCACTGCCTTGAAAATCCTTGTTTGTTTCACATGAGGACAGAACAATGAAAATAACAGAATTTCAATCAAACCACAAATGCGGCTTCCCGTGGTCCTGTGTTTGCACTCTACCCCCACAGGGAACCTTCAAGAACCACCTGGGAAATCAGGTACTGGGTTAGAGTGGGGATGGGGGGGTGCGGTGGGGGACACTGCATTCCTTCCATTTTTGGTCCCAGTTTAAACATCTGTGTCCGAGACTGAAGGGACGGCCAAACCTGTGGCTTGTCAGCCTCCTTATGTCAAGCTCAGTGAAAGTGGCTCCAACTATTTAAACACAATTCACGAAATTCTACAGTGCAATCCCAAGCACACAGACAACAGGGCAGAGCAGCCCTGAATGCACCTTAGCACCTTCCACCCTGGCTAAGACTTGGGAGAAAACATAGGGTTTCTGCCATTCTTCACTCACATGGGTTAAAACACAGTACACTGCTGTCTTGGTCTCCTCCTGCTCTGCCCATTCCCCCAAAGCCTCTCATTTAAAAGCACCAGAAAACTCTCTGCCAAGGATGGAATCTAGACACCCGCTTCCCAGCACCACAAACGTGTTTCTTCTGGGTACCCTGGCCCCTCATCGCCATGTGACTGACAGTCTTCCGTCTAGGAAGCCAGGGTTTCACTCTCTAGCTTAGCAGAGGATGCCACAGGCTATGTTTTAAATTACTGGCTGTGTGTGTGTGTGTGGGGGGGGGGCACGGCCTGTAACACACAGGTCTCGAGTGGGGGAACCCACGGCAAGGCAAACTTGAGAAGTTCTCTGGGCAAAGCAGCTCTGTCCGAACCGGGACAGGGTCAGGGCTGCACACAGAGGTGAGCTCACACATGCACACTCAGGTGAGCACGCATGCGCTGCCTCCTGGCACGGCCACTCGGTGTCCCTTCCACTGTCCCCAGCACCAGTCAGAGCCCACGCCCGGGGCCCACGACTCACCGCCAGGACGCTCTGGGCCAGGAGCCCCACTGTCACAGCCCCCAGCAGCAGCCACCTGGGTGAGAGAGGGGAGAGAGCGCCATGAGCCTGTGGCCTCGGCTTGGCGGTCGAGGTCCGCGCCGGGCCCCCTCCCGGTCCCCCGCAGGAAGGTCGCTTACCGTCGCAGGGCAGGGCTGGACGCCGAGCACCGGTGTCGGTCCATGCTCCTGGCCCGGCCGCTCCGGGCTCCGCGCGGTCCCTCCTCGCCTGCAGGGCGAGGCACAAAGCGGGCTTAGCGGAGGCTGGGGCGGGAGCATCCTCGCCGCGGGCCTCCTTCCGCGGGAGGCGGCCAGGCGGGTGCGCCCCCATCCCCGCAGGGCTGCCCCGGAGCCGCTCGGGGACCCGGCAGGAGGAGCGGGAGCCCGCACCTAGGCCCCCCGCTCGGCGCCCCCCGCCCCCGCCCCCGCCCCCCGCCCCCCTTCGGCGCAGCGCGGCCCCGGCCTGCGCCGGGCGCCCCCGGTCCCAGCCTCGGCCTCGGCCCCGGCCCGGGCCCGGCGTCCCCGCGGCCGCCCTCACCTCGGCCCGGCGTCAGGGGCCGTCGGCTCGCATCCGGCGCTCCGGGAGCCGGCCCGCTGCGCGGCGGCGAAGCCTCGGCCCTCGGGGCACCTGGTCGGGGCGCGGGGCGCGGGGCGCGGGGCGCGGGGGCGCAGGGGCGCGGGGTCGCGCGGCGGCCGCCGGGGTGCGGAGCGCGGAGCCCTGGCGTCCCGGCGCGCGGCGGCCACAGTCCCCGGGCCGCGCGCTCCCGCCGCCTCTTACCCGCGCCGCAGGGTCCTCCCCTTTGAGACGCCGCCCGCGCGCCGCGGAGGGGAGGGGGCAGCGCCAACAAATTGGGGAGCTCGCCGGGCCGCGCTCAGGTCTCCGCTGCGAGCGGCCGCGCCCGGGACGGTGCGCAGCGCCCGCGCCCCGGCCCTCCGCCCTCCAGCCGCCCGCCGCGGCCCCCGAGCGCCGGCCGCCGGCCCCCCCGGCCCCCGCCGCCCCGGGCGCGCCAGCATGGGGCCCCGGCTCGGCGTGTGGCTGCTGCTGCTGCCCGCCGCCCTCCTGCTCCACGAGGAGCGCAGCCGGGCCGCCGCCAAGGTGAGTCCCCAGCCGGCTCCGCTCCCCGGCGTCCCGCCCCGCGCCCCGGGAGCCCCGCGCGGCCCCTTTGTCCCCGGGCCGAGCCGCCCGCCCGCCCCCGGGGTCGCGCGGGGCCGGGCCGGGTGCCCTCCCCGCGCCGCCCCGGGCCCGTGGCCCCGGCGGGCTGCATCCCGCATCCCTTAGGGAGCCTCCTTTGTTGTGGGCCGGGCCGGGTCGGGAGAGGGGGAGACCGTCCCCGGGGCCCTGGGCAAGCGGACCGAGCCGGTGCGCACGGCGCGGCGAGCGTGCCCGGGAGCCTGCGGGACTTGGACTCGCGCTGCGGGGGCCTCAGCGGCCCGGCGCCCTCACCTGCCCCGGGCGCCCGGGGGGGGGGGGTGCGGGGGTGCGGGCGGGGGGGGCACGCGCGCCCCACGCCGCTGCGAACCCGCACTCGTGCCGGGGAGTCGCTTTGGACGTGTTCCTCCCGTGCTTGGGCGACTGTGCTGGGTGATGCCGAGCAGTGCTGGGCCGTTCGCCTGGAAACAGCTGTGTCTGTGCTTTCCCACGGCTGTTCCGTGGCTGAAGCACGCTCGAGAGCAGAAGTGGGGCTCTCGTGTAGTGCACTTTCAAAACCTTAACCAAACTCGACTCGTTGCCTTGTGTTAATGCACATTAAAAAAAAAAATTATGACCACATTATATTTGAGTGTGAAACCAAAATGAAACTCCATCTTATTGTTCTAAGCACAAACTGTTTTCCTAGTTTTCATTTCCTCCGGCTGTGTGCCTGCCCGGAAAGGATCTGGGAGCTGGGCTTGCAGGAGTACAGGCTTCCAGCTCTGGACCGTCCTTGATGTACTGTTGTTCTTTCTTTTTTTTTCCTTCCTCTTAGACAGAATAAAGACCTCGGCTGGTCCCCGGTGTGAAAGCCTTGGAGACAAAACCCCTAGGAAGTGTGGCTTCTAAAGGCATTTTGCATTCTCCCCCCACCCCCACAGGGTTTAAAAATTACTTTGCTACTTTGCCACATTTCCTACTTATTGTTTTACCGTTTCAGATCCTAATCTTGCTCTTAAGTTTTGTTTGTTTGTTTGTTTTCCCTTCTCTCCTGGAGGAATGATATTCAGACTCCACTGCATATAAAATGTATTAACTGTTACATGCCAGAATGAGCCAGGAGTATGCACACGCATCTCATCCCAGGGCAAGGTTGACTCTTTACTGGCAGCTCCTTCATTGGCCTTTGAAAGGACTAGAGATCACAGCAGCAATTAACTTCAGACAGTTTCTCCCAGCCCTGAGTCCAGCCAAGCACCATACTCAGTTGTTTAAACGCTCTCCAGTAAAGATGACAAAATACTTTCAAAAGAGGAGTCTTTATTTGGGTGTAGAAATAGTGACCAAAAGATTTAGTACTTCCAAGGAGAAGTTGCTAAACTTGATGATGAGAAAATGAGAGAAAGTTCTCTATTTGGAAATACGAACCTCTGTTTGGACTTAGATTTTCTGGTTGATAATACTAGCAAGCTAATTATAAGAACTCGCTTTTCAAACAGCTAGGACTTTAAAGAACAAGCCACATGCTTATGGGGACTGCTCTTGCCTGGGAAGTCAAACTCATTGCTGTTGTTTGGGATTATTTTACTTCCCTTTAATTATTCTCTGAGGCCCAAGCACATTCCTGTCCACTGGCTTGGCTCTAAACCTCAGGGTGTCCTATAGTGTTTTCAGATACCTGGCACATGGGTGACACCCTCTGATCAGTCACCAACTGACTCAGCAGGAGTTATCTTTACACTTTGTTTTTCCTGGCTTAAGTAGAGAGATATGGGTATAACCTATGGCTATGCAAGAAAATCCATTTAAATGTACTAATTTATCTAATTTTTAAAATCATTTCACTTTTTATGTCATCAAGAACATTTTTTTACTTACCATTTCCCAAAATTACCTGTTTGGAACCAAAAAGTTGAAATAGCTCCAATATTGATCCTAGCAAAATGCATTTTAAAATACATTAAAAATACGTTTGAATGATAAGAGGGATTCTTGGATTACCCTATGCCTTTGAAAGAGAATCTGAATCACAATTCACCTACATGTGTACCTGTCCAAACATCACCTGTGCTGGGCAAGAATTGCACTTTCCTCCCCCTCCCTCCCCCCCCCCCCCCCCAGTGAAAGCCTATTTGATTTTATATTTGACCGTATCTGCCATGGTCATATTGTTCATTTACTAGATGGATTTTCTGAGCCAGTGATTTTTTTCCCCATGCCCAGTCTATTCTGACTCCCTTCCCCAACTTATGTTTCTGAAGCAAGAAAGGAGGACAAGAGTTCAAGCCTGAGATAGAAGTGTGCTCAGAGTGTTAGGGTTGGGGATGCCCTGTGTTCTGAGTTATGCAGTCAGATTGGAGGGAATTGTCTCTATGGCATGCAGCCTCAGACTCCTCTCTCTCAGTCTGTGTGACCCCCCTGTCAACAGAGGATTTCTCAGGATCAGAAGTGTGAACTTGCCTAGAAGTGCGGTGATGCCTGCCCACTGGTATTGGCATGTTCACACCATTACTCACTCTCATGGAGCTCAGTGACCCAGAACCCAAGGGAAGTGACATTTAGTTCCCGTGTGAGTATGGACTCTGTTCTGTGGCAAATGTCGTTTAAATGAGAAGGTTGGTCTCTCCTCTGGGCCCAGTGACAATGAACATCAGCTCAATATGTCAGGAGTGATACTGGTGAAGATGTAACCCAAACCATTATGTTCCTTATGTATAGAATTGGACCAGAAGGGAAGTACCTCTGATCCCTTGGCAGATCTGTCCCTTCTTCCAGGGGGCCATCCTTTCCTTCCTTTTTTCCACACATGCACCCTGGGCCTTCTTGCATACCCTGCATTCTGCCTGGCCCTGGCCAGGCAACAGTGAATGAGACCCACTCTGCCTCCAGGAAGCTTGCAGTTTGGCAACAAATGCTGAGCCACAAGTCAGACAAGGCAAGGTAAATCAAGGGCCCTGTGAGCACCTAATCAGCTTTGCAAAACTCAGAGGAACTTCTAGGAGGACATCTGCCTCCAAATGTGAGGGAGAAACAGGAACTATGAGCTCAGCGTATTGCTTTCATGAGTAGTTATGGTGCATTGTACTCAGAAGTATGATGAATCTACCTGTCCTTTCATAGACCTACTGGTCTTTGCATTTAAAAATGACCCTAAGGCTCCCTCCTTTGAGATACCAAGATGCCATGGCTTCTCTTATCAATTGCGGTAGCTGAACTCCCCCCCCCCCGCCCCCCGCCCCGAGGGGTAGAGACATTGAGGGACTGGTCTACGTGACCAGTGGTAAGAAGCACCCAGCCAGAGCCCTTTCCTGAGGCTGCAGGTACATTGGGATGTTTGGAAGGTTGCCACATGGATGGCTGATTCTATGCTGGAGTGCCTTTAGGAACTGACCCAGAAAACCTACCCTCACTTGGGCAAGGACATGAGGGAATTCACAAAACCCTGCATTATTCATTAACAAGACTGTGGGCAATGTCTTGGGACCAGTAAGGATGGCCATGACTTTATAAATTCAGTTACTTAGTTAAGAGCTTGTAAAGATTTTGCAGACAAATTGAACCCACAAGTGACTCTCTAGAACAAATCGTTGTGTTGTAGAAATCCGGAGGGCATCAAGAATTGAGTTATAATACTTGTTTTGAAGAAGTATAGACAGTGTTTGTTAGAACATTTGTTCCAGAAATTTAAAAAGGATTAATCTCATTAAAATACCTCTCAAGCAGATTGAGTATTTTGAATTCTTGAGATAGAGTAAACAAAAGCAACAATAGGATGCCGAAAATATCATAGAGCATTGTTCTTCCTGCTATTATTAAACAACCACTAAAAAATGTTGACTGTAGAACAATACAAAAGACATATTCCTACCATTCTTAGGCATACAATGAAAGAGGATATAAACCAGGACACGTTTCAATGGTTAATTTCTTTTGAGGCATTGAACGCTGTAAGAATTACTTGGGGTTAATATTTTTATAGTCTGGTACATGGTGAACTGGTTGCATCCTGTGTTTCCCTCTATTGTTCTCCTGGTCTTAATCCAGTGACATGTGTCTCTCCCAGCTTTCCTTCTGTTTCTTCCTTCTTCCTCTGCCCAGATCCTTCGTGGGGGTATGCTGTGGGGTCCGGCCAGTGGGCTCCTCTCTCCTTCTCTAGCTGAGGAGATCTGCTCTCATGATTTCTTATTCCATGAAGGGGGTTCCAAACCTTTTTCTTGAACTCCAGCCTAGGATCTTCAACATTCCCATGGGACATGTCACCTTGGCTTTGGTCTCAGACTTAGCAAATGTGTTCCAAGCTGAACTTAATGTCTTACCCATACCGACTGCCCATCCCCACTCCTGCCGTTTGGTCGTCGACACCCCAGTATCTCCTGACACCCAGCTTAGACATGGTGGCTTTACCTCAGGGCTCCACTCTGTCTCTTTTTAACCGCTGTGTCACTCGGTCACCAAGGCTGCCATGTCTTCTTTCTGTGGGATTCTCAGCGTCCCCACCTGCTTTCTTCTCCCAAGGCTATGGCCCCCTTTCAGGTCTATTCACCTTCAGCCTGGGTTTTGCCACAGAACCCTCCTGGCTCCCATGCTTCCTCCAGCCTCAGGCTCCCTCCAGCCAGTTCCTCGTGTTGTCCTGTGGCTGGTGGTCTTCGGGGGTCCCACTGATGGTCACGGGCAGCCTCTGACGGTGGCTGCATACCGTCTAACCAATGGTCTCCTTTGTGGTGGGCTGGTTTTTGTT